CGTCCTGGTCCATCGGAGAGGACAAAAGGGGCTGTCAAGAGGAGCATCGAAATGGATCCCAGATTAACGACTGCAGAATCTGTTCAACGGATTTTTCACAGATTGAGTTATCTTTGCAGAGCAGCTAGACGGAAGCCCTTATTAAGACCTGTCAACATAGTCAGACGAAAGAAGTGGGCAAGTGATATGAAGACCAAGCCTCTGGACTTTTGGAAGACCGTATTGTTCTCAGACGAATCAAGATTCGCTCCATTTTCGGACAGTAGAAGGATATGGGTCTGGAGAATGCCTCACCAAGAGTTTCGGCTCAACAGATTGCAGCCAACTGTGAAGCATGGTGGTTTCAGCGTGATGGTTTGGGGAGCTGTTTGGGTTGGTGGGAGATCGAGCTTAGTGGAGTGCGTTGGCAACGTAAATTTTGCGAAATACGTCGAAATATTGGTGGAAGGACTCTTGCCACTTTATTCCTCGGGTTTCGTGGACAAGAACATAACGTTGTTCCAAGAAGATGGAGCACCGTGTCACACTGCTAGAAACACCCAAAAGTGGCAGGAAGAAAATGATATCCAGAAGTTGCCCTGGCCGAGCGAATCTCCTGACATGAACCTCATCGAAAACCTGTGGGCCATACTCGACCGGCAAGTCAAGAAACAACAACAAAAAAAAACAACTTTGAAGAGCGATCTACTCCGAGTTTTGAAGCAAAAGTAGGCGAAAATCCCACAATCTAAAATTGACGAGATGATTCTCACGATGCCTCAAAGAATCAACGAACTCCAAAACGAAAGAAAGATCTACTAGATATTAATTAAAGTATAAATATATCAGTTCGTGTGAATATGACTGAAAAATTTAATCTTTTCCGAAAAGGTGGTGCCTATTCACTTGTGACCACGCTGTGTATATATAGAGTATAAGAAGAAAGTACACACACATATATATATACAGTCCACAAGAAGAAAACACACACACACATTAATATATATATATAGTATACACAAAGAAAAAGAAAACATATATATATATATAGTCTACAAGAACAAAACACACACACACATATATATATAGTCTATAAGAAAACAACACACACACATATATATATATATATAGTACTACAAGAGGAAAACACACACACACATATTTGTATATATAGTATACAAGAAGAATACACAAACACACACAGATATATATCTAGTCTACAAGAAGAAAACACACACACACACACATATATAGTCTACAAGAGGAAAACACACCCACACACATATATATATACAGTCTGTAAGAAGAAAACACACACACATATGTATATATATATATATATATATATAGAATACAAGAAGAAAACAACACACATACACATATATACATATATAGTCTGCTTAAAAAAACAAACCACACGTATATCTATA